AACCATGATGGAAGGATGGAGACACGACAGCAAGCAACAGACATAGCAGCAAAAGCAGGAAGCCGGGGGCTTATACCTAGAAGCCCCGACTGGAAATGGGGAGGCTTTATGCTTTCAAATCCTGTCTCCATGGACGTATTTTCTTCAGTAAGGTGGCACCACCTAAATATCCTCAAGCAGTGCCACCAACTGGGGTTAAAGTTTTCAAATGCCCAAGAGTCTGAGGGTGATTCAAATCACTACAATGCCCAAGAGCAGAAAAGGACCAGAAAAAGGGAATTCCAAAGATAATCTTTCCTCTCTGAGCCTAGACAGCACAACCACAGAAGGTGGAACGACACCTCCAGGCCTTTGCTCTGAAGACCCCTTTTAGCATAGACAGTTTCTTCAAGCCTTCTTGGTTGGGCCTTTTAGGCTCATGGCTACTCAGAAACAAGATGGCCTTAACCTGTCCCAGCTACCAAGGACCTGGAAGATCAACTCTAGATCCCTGTGCCAACTCCAGACTGGCAGGGGACAGCTGAACCTTTCTATGCCTCTGGGGCAAGAACTTAGCTTTGCTCCCTCAGGAAGTGTCACCTAAACTTTGTTATTCTGTCATTTTCCAGACTCCTTTCTCTCCTGAGATGTCACCTCCAGGAATCCACAAGATGGAGAACTAGAGTCTCCAATGAGCTTTTCTTCCAAGAGAGTTTGTGTAGTGATGGTTCTAGGCCTGGCTGATGACTCTAGTCTACCAGCTGTGGATCCTGGGCTACAAAATTGCAGGTGGCTGTGACAGGAACTTCCGGGAGGGAGAAGCTGGGATCACAGACTTCTTCCCCAGCCAAGTTATACACCTAATGGAACACAACAGAGGTTGAAATGCTGTGGCAGGTATACATTTTCTGTTTTTCCCGTGTGCGTGTGCGTGCGCATATGCATGTGTGTGTGTTAAACCAAATTGTCTCACTTATTCACTCATCTGTTTTTCTGTGAATTAAAAAGTAGGGCCTTTGCTTGCTCACTCTCAGACATGTACACATGGAGGTTCTCTGTTGTTAGTATCAAGGGGAACACGTGGCTCAGGCCTGGATAAAGAGCCCTCCTTACAATGCTCACTGGTACCACTGAATGGGAAAGATGCCCATCTCCTGCTATGATGGACACCAAGGACCTCACAAGCCTGGAGATGTTGAAGGCCATCTTTGCAAACCCTGTGCCAGAGTGAGGCTGCCAGAGGAAGACAGAAATGCAGGGGAAAGTGTGAAAGACAGATGTGGGCTTGGATTTCTTATCTTTGTGGGCTGAGATGCAGTGTCTCTTTCAGCAGGGTGGTTTGCCTTGGTTTTCTGACACTAGTAGATAAAGGATTTCAAATTGGCAGCCACATCCCTGAACTCTCAAGGGACCCAAAGAGACTTCTGAAGCTGCATCTGCACCACCCTCTGTGGTCCACCTTCACTGAGGAGCTTGGGATCCAGCCACCTCCCTTAAGTCGTATACAAGTACACGTACTGAATGACTCATCTCCCCAAGTTCATGTGTTACAATCCTCACCCCCAAACTGATGGTGTTAGAAGATGAGGTCTGGGAGAAGGGGTTAGTTCACAAGAACTCCAGGAGTGAGACTAGCATTGTTACAAAGGGGACCTCCTTAAGGGCCCCTTCCTTTGTCTCTACTGTGTGAGGGAACCAGGTTAAGATGGCAGCTGCAGTTTGTAAGATGTCTCTCAGCAGACCTGACCATGTTGGGTCTTGATCTTGGACATCCAGGCCCCAGGATTATGGAAAGATGTCTGGTGTTCACAAGTCCCAGCCATGGTCCTCTGTTGTAGCAGCGATTGGCAAGCCGATGCCCCCGTGCTCTCCAGCAGATAACTAACAACCGAGCCTGTTGCTAATTGTGATGTAGAGGGAGGAAGGTTTGCCTAACTTCAGATTTTGTGGGGTCCTTCTTTAGCATCTCATCTCTAGAAACACCCATGACCTTTCTGGTGAGGACATGGTCTTTCAAGTTGCCATGGAGATGGCAGTCTTTAATAGTCAGTCCCACAGTCTCTCTGGACAGGAGTTGAACAGGCCAGGGTCTGCATGGTCTTAAGGGATGACTGTTCTGTGACTGCCATGAGCCAGGTTCTTTTTTTTTTGGCTCTGTGTGCCTGGCTGGTCTGTCATTAGTCTGTGAGGTTTGGGTTTGGTTATTTGCTTGGGGGTTTTGTTGTTGATACTTTTGACTCTGGCTTTTAAAAATAACCTGGTGCGTCTCAAGGCTGGTTTGCAGAACTTCACAGCCTCTGGTGTAGAATGTGCCCCTTGCCCAGCCCTGGGCTTTAGGGTAATCCTTTCGCCTGAATAACTGGTAGCTGGCTGTGGCCAAGCCCGGGTGGGGCTGACCCTGGTGATGGCTGGACGCCAGCCAGCCTTGCCCTGTCACACACAAACAGCTCTCTGGAAGCCCCTCACAGGAGGAGACAGAAGACAAAGTGGGGAGGCATCATTCATTTATTTGAATTAACACAAAATAAAACAAAAATTTGTTGTTTCTGTTGTTGCATATAAATATATATATAATTTAAAAAAAAACCAAACATTTTTGCATATGGGAAGTTTCACAATCTGGGAACAAGCCATAGTGCAAGGTTTTCTGAGCAAAAGGCTCAGGACATTCCAGCTCGATGAGGTGGCCAAGGTGACATAGTACACAACCCCAGAGCAGTCTGACACCAGCCACAAGAGCCTTCGCTCCAGACTGTGGCACTTGGGACTCTTTCAATAGCCACTTTTGTGGCCCATAAAATCCTTCCAGCACTTCCTGTTGTTCTTTCCCCATCTCTTCAATCTTCCCTGTCACTTCCTGTTCAGACTTTTACCGCTTCACATACCAAGTATCCAATAAAACATCCCATTCCTCACCTCTTCCAAAAACCGCCTCAAATTCCTCTCTTTTAGTCAGCACCACAAAACCCGATCCCATTCACCTCCACAGGGTATTTCCTGGCTGGAAGGACACACTTCAAAGCTGAGAGTCCAGTCTCTAGTCTGGTCCTGCAACCTGTTTGCTATTATAGTTTTAGGTATAAGCTAAACATCTCTTAACAGAAAACCCAAGATCTAAAATGCTCCAAAATCCGAAGGTTTTTGAGTTGCTGACATGATGCCATGGATAGACAATTTCACGCTGTGAAAACCTCTTTCATGCACACAACATTATTTAAAACACTGTATAAAACTACCTTCAAGCAGTGTGTATATGGTATTATGAAATATAAATGAACATGTTTATACTTGGGTTCGACCCCCCCAAGATATCTCATTTAATATATACTCAAACATACCTGTGCCTGAAAAAGACTCTAAAATCCAAAACTCTTCTAGTCCCAAGCATTTTGGATAGGGAATAGTCAACCTGTATTTTCTTATTTTTATGATCCCAGTTATCCTGTGTCAACAGTGCGCTATAATAGCAGTGGATGCTAACGTGCCCTGAAAGGTATGTAAATGCAATAGACTGCAAGCAGGGTTCCCCTGGGCACTGTCACCCACAGTTCAGGTCCTTTCGCACCCATTGAAGACAGCACTGTACTTTGGGTTGTGCCGGGCTGCTGTGGTGACACCTTGGCACACCAGTGAGTAGGGTCTTACCTCAGGGACATGAGCCTCTGATTTTTATGTTTATTTGGTGAGCTTCTGTAGCCCACAGCACCAGTCAGGACTGAGCACGGAGCCGTGCTCAGTCTTAAAGTGTATTGCTTTCGATCAAGTTTCTTGCATTGATCTGCCACCCCACAGTTGGATGGTGACATAAATAAGGGTGCAGGGTGGTGGAAAAACCCAAGCCCCTTTGTTCATCCTCCAGCTCAAAGGGCAATCCTGGCAGCCTGGCCTGGGGCCCTGGCACCTCCTCAGCAGTGCTGGCCCAGGGCTCAGGACTATCTGCTAAGTGATTTCTCATTCCCACTGGAACAGAACTCCCCACAGAACGGGTGGGAGACATGGTTTTACTTTGGATGAATCAATCAGATGAGAACCACGTATTGACATGCAAACATCTACCATGGATACTGCCTGCTTCAGAAATGCATTGTGAGATCAACCCTGAACAACTTGGGAGAGCTACACCAGGGACCCTTTTCTTGAGGGTCACTGTCTCAAATGTGGGGCCCTCACTCCCTGAGCTCAGCAATATGCCAACAAAAGCTTTAGCCCCCTCCAAGGGTACCTGGTACATTTCAAATGTCCCTGAAAGAGTCAACTCCTTTGTCCTTTTCACAAAGCCACACTATGTGGCTACAGAGGTAAGGAAATGCCTCACCCTTTCAGAAAACCCTATTACATATATGTAACTCAGAGAACACTTCTGGATCCTTCTCTTCCCCTCTAACACGTCCCCTACCCTCAGGTGCACATAGATACATATTACACTTGACAAAATTCATCTTCTTTTGATAATAACCTAGCCTACGCTCTAGGCAATGCCGCTGCAAACGTGTTTGCATAGAGTCAGTCACAATAGAAACAAAACCAGTCACCAGAGGACAAGCTTGAGAGCTACCTGCCCAGACTCTTGTTTGGAATATCCCAACCTTCCTTCCAGTCACTCAAAAAAAAAAAAAAAAAAAAAGGTTGTTTGCCTCAGGCAGATCCATCAATGGGATTGAAAACAGTACCCCAGGAGCCTTCCTCACCCTGGCTGACCCCAAAGCCTGAAAAAGCCGATGTTTTGCTTCAAATCCATCCAAAATAAAATACAGAATAAATAAATATGACCTTCCATCATGTGCTGCTTGGGAGTTTCCAGCTGTGTGTGGATGCAGCCTTCATGATGCTCCCGAGGACTCTGAGACAGTCCAAAGTCTCTACCCATCCCTTCCTTACATCTCCTGGGCCACAGTGAAGCATGTACCCAGAGGAACATGGAAGGGATGGGATGGTTCTTATCTATGCTTGCTGAAGAGCTAGGTAAGAATCACCTCTGCAGGCTGGTCCCTTCCTAGTGCTCATAGAGTCGTGTGGATAGCTTTAATCAAGCATTGTGGAATCATGCCTTTGGAAGGGTGGTCTACAGGAGTGGGAGAAGTGGACAGAGTCCTGGATAAGGGATGTGTACACTTGGCTCTCTTCTTCTGAAGACACCTGGAAGCCAAGGTTTCTCCCTTCAACATGATCCCTGGGAGCCTGGTGGTCTTTGAAACCTCAGCATTCGGGGCTAAGGTCCAACTGTTGAAGAATGTCCTGTAGAGAGCCCTGCAGCCTGCTCAGAGCCACCACCTCTGTGGAGTAGAGCGAGGCTTCCAGGACGCCATCCAGACTCTCTGGCTTCTGCAGGCCACCGGTCTGAGGCAGGGAGCAGCTCTTGGAGAAGGCCAGCAGATGGAGGAGGTCTCGGAGGTTCTCCAGGTCATTGGCTATTTGCAGCACGTTCCGGGAAGGCAGGCTGGTGAGGATCTGTTGATAGACGGCCAGAGTCTGATCCATCTTGGACAAACTCAGAATGGGGTGAAGCCCAGGAATAAAGTCCAAGCCAGTGACCCTCTGCTTGGCAGATACCGACTGCTGTGCAGGAGGAAGAGGAACAACAGGTGCTCAGTAGATGGCAGGGAAATCAGTCTCCAGGGCTCTCCGTCATGTCTGTGAGCCTGGGCTGCCTCCTTCCTTCTCACTCTCCTGGTCCAGGCCCTTATTTCCTGTGGGACTGGGAGCCACAGAGCTGGTCTCCCAGACTTTCTGTTCATTCCGCGCCACTTCACCCTTCACACCTGACTAATCTTGAGCAATCCCTTTCTCCAAATGACATCAGTGAAGAACCAGCCATAGCTCTCTATTCTTTATACTCTCTCAAGCCTCCTACCCTTATCAGATCTCTCCCTCCTGGTCTTCTTATGTAGGCCTTCTTCATTAGGGTCAAAGACATGCCCCTCCCCGACCCTGGTGAATCTGGTTACTAGGAAGGGCTTTCCCCACCTCTCATTTCTACCCACATTTGGGTACTTGGGTCTCTCTATGTGCAGCCCTGATGACTCTTTTTGAAAGATGATGAGAACTTTCTCCATGAAATATACAAGTCTCTTATTTTAAGCCATCCTTGATTCTGAATATTGAACTTCTCCTGGGCTGCCAAGGCCACTGTGAGATGTCCACACTGGCCAGGAGTCATGGCAGGCTCCAGATGGCTCCACAAGAAAATCTTTCACCACACCCCGTTTAAGCCGTAAAACAGCTTAGTGATATGATGTGATGTTACCATTATCAAGATGGTAAAATCAAGGTTTAAAAACACCAAAGAACTTGCCCAAGATCTTACAGTTGGAAAGCTGATGTGGTGATATACACATAGCTTAGATACATCTGAGGAGATGGCTGAAGATGTAGGCTGCTGGGCCTCAGAGAAAGACCATGGTGGACACTGACCACTGTCAGCAACTACACCGAGGACTGATTGTAATGAAGGGAAAGATTGCTTTCTGTGTGACTTTGAAAGGAGGGTGTACAACAGGCAGGAGAAGCTTTAGCTAAAAACTGCTAGAACCCTAATGATCTTCCTGCCCAGTGGAGATTCCGCTGGGAAGCTGGTCATGTGTCAATGGGACACCATGACCTTTAGGGAGTCTTATGTGCTGGCCACTAGATTCAAGGAAGTAGTTTCATGGAGGAAGGAGAATGAGAGAGGAAGAAACAGGAAGTAAGGAAGGGGAGAGAGTGGTCTGTGGAAGCAGAGAGGGACCCAGGTTCTCCCAGACCTGATGTGGGCCTTCCATGCTCAGTTAATCACTGAGGGCAGGGTTTCTTGCGGCAGAGTGAAAATGAGCAAAGCCTTATGATATCACAGAACCTTGTGGTTTATTAATGGGAGTATAGGACAAAGTTCAATTCCCTAAGGTGGCTTAGGATTAGAACCATGTGGTACAGGCAGTACAACTGAGCAGTGTAGGTGCCGGGTTTAGGATCGGAACCACTCAGCCCTGTGTTCCAGGAGGCAGCAGTGTCAAGAGCCATAACCAGAAAGAAGGTCACCCTAGGCTTATAAATTCTCAGCTTCTAGGAGGTGCATGACATTCAGAAGGTGCTCAATGTGTTTCCCAGACTCTGGTTCTAGACCTACTTCTTTGTCCCCTCAAGAGATTCCCTACCGTGTGTGAAATGTCATTAATCCTGGTGACAATGGTCTTGATGAGGGTTTTGGTGTCATCCTGGACTTTCTGGATAGGCACAGAATGAACATAGGACAGATAGGACCAAAGCCACAGGAACCGGCACAGGGGTCTCCAGCACATTTTCCTCCCTGGGGTCTTCTTCTTCTTGGACCTACAAACAGAAGGAATGACACTTTTCAAGGGCCCAATATAAATCCATCCAATGGTCCTGCTGCCAACCTGCTATAGGATGTTGATGGATGAAATTTGCTTTCTTCCCTAACTAGCTTCCATCTTGTCAAAGACAATTCATTATGGAACCCAGATGAATGAAATACACACCGTTGGGAAGAGTATTGACGGTTCAGTAAAACCACAGTGGTATGTCCTATAGTTCATGGAGCAGCACTTGTCAAATGGATTTGATGATGATGGAGGTTTTGTTGCACGCTTCAAGGGAAAGAGAACCAACTCTTACGGTCTAGGTTGAATGTAGTCATTTACTCACTGCCTTACTGAAGGTAGATCACATAACCACTCAAAATTCTACCTTCCTCCTTATAGTCTGCCCATCTCCGAGCTTTTTATGAAGATCAAATTAGCTAGTGAGTGTGGAAGATCATTAGGGACCCAGGGCTGCCTCGCCCTTCCCGTTAGCCTCACAAGCAGACTCTTGCTATGTCTGTTGAGGTCTTCATTACTGATTTATAACTTCCTTCCTCTCCCTGTGGGAACCTGAATCAGAGCAGCATTACTCCACCTGGATGCAGTACACCAAGAAGGGAAGATATTTCCTACCCTCCAGCAGCCTGGTGTAACAGAAGACAGACAAACAAGTAGGCTATGTCAATGCAGGAAGATGGCGGTTCTCAAGGGGACAAGTGTAAGATATCACAGAAGTCCAGAGTGGGTCGCCTTGGCTGGTGTTGAAGAACAAGAACAGGTTGGGAGAGTAGAACTCAGTTCTCACAAGTGACCAAGGGCCCAGAAGTGCAAAGGCCTGGAGGCAGGAGAGAACATAGCATGTTCGCTTAGAGTGCTAGAATTTGTAGTCATGGAGCCAGGAGTTTTTAAATTAACACTATGCAGACTCTTGATTAAGAAACACAGGCCTGATGAGATGCATGAAGCAAAAAGATAATAAAGTGAAATGTATGCAAGCCTGTAGCCATTGATCTGTACTAAGGGTGTGTGTACGAGCTTGAAGAATGAACACGTCCATAAATATTAGGGTGAAGAGGATGGAGATGGCAGAAAAAACAACTTCTCCTTTTTCTGTTCACCCTCATTTAGGTCTTGGTGGCAATAGGTAATACAGCTGTCCTCCATCTGTGGTAATATTCGTATAACTCACCCTCTGACAGTGCGGCAACATAAGCAATCTGCTTATATATTATTTATAGTGCTTGCTTAAAGGTACGCTCTTTTTAATCTGAATTTTACAGAAGAGAAAACAAATGAGGCTCAGGAAGATGAGCCAACTTTCCCAAAGTCATAAAGGTAAGCATCAGGCTGAGATGTGTGCAGGACATTGCACCCCTATCCACAGACTCATTTTCCAAGACTTTAGTTACCCATGTTCATCTGTGATCCAAAAATACTAAATGGAAAATCCCAGAAATGGATAATTCATAAGCTCTCAATTGTGCCACGCTGAGTGTGATTATGAAGTCTCACACTGTCTCATCCTGCCCCTCCTGGGGTGTGAATCATCCCTCATCCAGGGTTGTCTACACTGTATACATCACTTGCCTCTGAGACACTTAGGAGCTGCTTGGGTATCAGATCAGCTGTCGCAGAATCACAGTGTTGGGTTTCTGTGAACCTTTATTTAATTTACTAATGGTCCCAAAGCAAGAAGTGTGTAGTCAAAGAAAGCATAAACATCCAAGGGGAGATGCATGTGAGGGCTACGGGTCCATGCATAGGTCCATCTAAGGAATACACGGACATAAGTGGTTTCGTATTCTCACAAGTTTTCAGGGGTCCACCAGAAGTCACAGAACATATTCTCCACAGATCAGTGGGGCTGCTAACTGATATCCCCCCTCACTGAATTCCCTGAAATACTAACCAAGGAAGCAAGTGTAACAGTTAGGCCCCAGGTTTTAACTGTGGGCTCTGTATTTTGTTGTTGTTTGTTTGTTTGTTTGTTTTCTATGTGTCTCTGGGAAGGAGAGTTAACTTCATCTGGTCCTATGGGTGAAATGGAACTAACACAAGCACTAGCATCAAAGGGTAAATGAGGGGAATTTTTTTATATCCCTGCCTATCTTGGCTTGTGTCTGGCTCAGGGTTGAGGGAGTAAATGCCAGCTACTTAAAAATTATTGGAATTACTGGGCAGAGCTTGAAATGCTCAGGGCACTAGCACCTGCAGCTGACTCTGAGTCAAGCTCTTGGCCCATTGCCTCCCACGGGCATCCCAAATGGGTACCTGGTGCTTGTGGATTTTCCCCTGCAGCACAAGAATGTGTGGCATTCATCTCTAAGATTTATGTGTTGATGACACCCTCTTTCCTAGCAGATTAACTATGGTCATATCATTGCTATTTTCACACAATGGCCACCCTGTACTATCAGAACAGACAAGTGGGTTTACAAGGCCTCTCTGGGCATGGATAACATGCCTCAGTTGATGCTGGCAATAAATCACAGTGCTCTGGAAACATGGGATTGAGATGCTGTCGCTGAGTAAGTATGCTGAAGTTGATAGGCCAGGCTTCTGGGATACACATCGGGGGTTGCAGAGAGAAGTGGTCACATATCCATCTGAGATCAAAGTCATGTTAGAACTGATGCCCCAAAAGCACATAACATGCTTATGCAACCCAGACACACGTACACAAACACATCAAGATGCATAGCCATGTTGTGGAGACTTCTAGTTTCTCCTGGTGTCTTATTTTTCTTTCTTTCCCAGTTGAAGACACTCCAAGTTCTAAGGGAGGCATGTGGCCATAGAGAATACCTGCTAGGCTTGCTGCTACCACTAGGTACAGTTATGCAGCCAAATGCTGAAGGATTAAAGAAAAGCAGATGAACCAGTGGCAGCTCTCAACGTTGTTTATGGTGACCCATGCATACCTGCCGTTTTAGCATTTGTGAGGCTAAGGCAGGGGAGTTTCTTGCCAGTTCCAGGCCACCCTGAGCTACAGAGCAAGACCTTGTCTCAGAAAAAGCAAAAATCCCAAATAAATAAATAGTGCTCATAAGATTAGAAAGCAAACTAGCATCCTTCTGTTATAAGAATGCATGTCGTTAATTGCAATGGTAGGAGGAACATTTAAATTGATCTATTGCCCTGGTTAACTCTGAGGATGATAGGACACTTTCTAGTTGCGAATGGGGGGGGGGGGCGGGGGAAGGGCTGGTTGGATCGCAAGAGAAAGAGGCCATGGATGTAATTCCAGGGAACCGAGGGAGTGGGTGGGCAGGGAGAAAAGCTACTGGTAGCTACCTGGCCACAAAAACCTTTATAGAAGTTTCTGAAGTGAGTTTAACCACTTATGAGTTGTTACAGCCTAAGAGCTGACTGAGGAATTGCTAAAATACTGACTCAGAACACTATGTTCCTCACGTCTGGGACTATTGCAGCAGAGCCTGGAAAGAAGGGACCGTTCGGGAGGACAGGGTGGGCACTGCGAGGCTACCTCCCTGCCCTCTACTTCTGTTTTACACTCAGGTTGTCTCACTGGAAAGCTCTTCTGTGGGCTACCTGCCTTCCCCTGCCATCTACCCATGTGTGCCCTGCCCTCGCCATTGTGACTCCCTGGTAGTGTACACTGGAGTAGTTAAAAGAACAGAGAGGTGAGGCCCTGAGGCAGCTCCAGGCAGTGACACATCTGTAGAAAAAGGCTCAAGACTGGTGCAAGAGGCTGGTAGGGCTGCACCATCAGCCCCCCAGACTCCCATTCTGATCTCACCTGAATCCCTGACAGCCTCCCTAGCTAGGTGATTCTTCACTTACATCCCCAGAGGGCAAGTCTACACTGCCACCTTCCCTGCAGACAAGATCACACCCTAATTCCCCCAAGACACTGGTTGTCTCAGTCGTGAGCACTCTCACCATCCTTCCATTCAGGGGACAGGGCAGACCCTTCAGGACGTGATGGGTGGGGAATGGGCACAACTGTCTGCTTCTTCAGATCCAAATAGGAAGACAACAGAGCCCAGGTCAGGCCTGCCACTGTCTCCATGCAGCAATGGGGGAAATGTTGGTGACTAGGGAAGTGCTGGGTGACAGAGGCAACTGCTGGCCAATGCTGCCATCCTTGGGCTTAGCCTAGCTTCCCCTAGTTGATCACACCAGAGATTCTCTCTCTCTCTCTCTCTCTCTCTCTCTCTCTCTCTCTCTCTCTCTCCCTCCCTCACTCCCTCCCTCCCTCTCTCTCTCTTCTTTCTTCTCCAGTCATCAGATTTTTTATAGATTTTTTTTCCTGATAGTCTTTGGTATGCTACTATGAATTAAATTCAGATAATGTTTGCCTACAGAGCACATGAAAATATCTGAGAAATGCAAATCAAAACCACAGTGAGATATCATCTCACCTCCGAATGGCTTTTGTCAAAGAGACAAAAGATAGCAGATGCTGGGGACCGGGTGTAGGGAAGGCGAATGCTCATACATTACTAATGAGACTGTAAATGAATACGGCCCCTATGGAAAACAGTGTGGGGATGTTTCTGAAAACTAAAAATAGAACTACCTTATGATCCAGCAATCCTGTTCCTAGGCATAGACCCAGAGAAAAAAAGCCAGTATGTCACAGAGATATTTTGCCTCCATGTTTATAGCCAAGATATGGAATCAAGTCTAAGTGCCTATGGAGATATGAGAGAATAAGTAAAATTTGGTACATATCCACAGTGAAATAGAATTCACCATAAGATGAATGAAATATTGCCATCAATGCAATATGAATGAACTTGGAGGACATTATGCCGGTCTCAAAGCATGGATAAGAGAATGACAATTCTCAGAACTTCAGAAGGGTGTGGGGAAAGAGAAGAGAGAGGCTACTGCTGAGCACAGGGAATGTTTGACAGGAGCTGTGACTTCTTTTTAAATGTTTTTATTGGGTCTGGAGAGATGGCACAGTCGTCCTGAGAACACACTGCTTGCTCTTCCAGAGGATCTGA